TCCTGTAAGCCTTTCGTGTCGGAGTCCATTTCGGACTGCATCAGACATGTGCGGTAATGGCATATCAGGCCACGCATATCCTACGCGTCCGTCCCCAGCTTTTATTCTCGTAGCGAACGGCCTTCATTCCGTGCATCGAGAACGACAAAAGCCACGGCGGGGCTGGAAAACGTGTCCTCACGAAAACCACATCTGATTCATTCCTTCGCGTCGGCTTTATTCAGTAGTTTATCTATTCATTATTCACTTTTATTAACATTCTGGGGCCACTCAGTTGTTCATTCATCTGTTATAGTCACTATGAATACACTTACCACATTTTTTTTATTCATAAATTGACCGGAAACCCTATCTGGCTAAAACTGTCTAAGCAAAACATAACCTAGTGCTGTAAGGCGTATCTGAAAGAAACATACAATGAATACACTATGCATAACTGTTTCAAATACAACATTAAAATGTGAATGTGGTGACCATAAGTGAACACACTCCGTCGATGCATCCCAATTAGTTTCCCTTCCCATTATTCGAACTTACCCCAGCCATGGTGATAACCAAGTCGACAGAACCACTCGAGGCACACAATGAACGTTCCCCCACCACACCAAAGAGTGAATCTATCACAAGGCACACAACCACCAGCGCGACTGCACAAACCACACACACAACTTCACTATCAGACACACTGAGAATCCTCCCAACACCGACTTCCAGACTCAATCCACACTACACGCCCAGGCATCGACACAACACATTGCACAATCAACACCAAGACACCTGCGACACAGAAGTCTGTGAATACCCCGCACAACAACCAACCACACCCCCCCAGCTACTACACCGACTAGAACAACACGAGAATTAAAACAAAACCCCATACCACACCACACGCACACAACACCACAACCAAACACACACCCCACACACAACCCAACACCATCTCACCCAACCCAAACCAAACGCACACCACACCCCACACGCCGTGCCCTCACAAACTCGAGACCATTCCTAAACCAAACCACCAACACACTATAGGGGTAACACCGACACCATTCACTTTTTTTTTAGTTATTCATCAATTGTTAAAGTAAAACCAAAACGAGTCATTGATATGTTCGATAGTAACATCCATATGAAGAAATAACATAACGGATTATAAATTAGTGTCATGTCGTGAAGGTCATGCTGTACTGCGGCAAAGGTTGGAAAAGGTATTCATTGCGGAGTTATCCATTATTCTTTACGCCTTCTTCACGATACTGCAGACGCGAAAGTATCACGAAAGGTATACTGTAAGTACTGCAGGTTGATTTCCTACTCCCGGCTTCCCTGCCCCGCCGGAGTAACATTGCAGGTGTACTAGAGACTTGCACTGCACCACACGTCATGATCAATATGTTGCAGACCAGTTCTCAAGGTCGAGTCCTCACGTGATTAGAAAATGCAAAAAGGACTTTGTTTCAGATTTGAGAGTTTATATAATTTCTCGATCATTTTAGAGACAAGAAAAAAGTTAAACGGCTTTATCCTAGTTTGGATGTATGTCACTGACAGTGATACAGTGATAAATTATCCAATTGGTTTTATATGTACTGAATCCATGATTGATATAAACTAGTATAACGTTTCCTTTCTTTATATTGTATTTAACCACTGCTCTGAGTGAAGGAAAGCCAAACGTAAAAATATATAATACATATAATTATATATATATTATATATATATATATATATTATATATATATATATATATTATATTATATATATATATATTATATATATATATATATATTATATATATATATATATATATAATATATATATATATATATATATATATATATATAATATATATATATATATATATATAGAGAGAGAGAGAGAGAGAGGAGAGAGAGAGGAGAGAGAGAGAGAGAGAGAGAGAGAGAGAGAGAGAGAGAGAGAGAGAGAGAGAGAGAGAGAGAGAGAGAGAGAGAGAGAGAGAGAGAGAGAGAGACAGAGAGAGAGAGAGAGAGAGAGAGAGAGAGAGAGAGAGAGAGAGAGAGAAAATTGCACATACCATCTATGTATATAATTACAATAAGATATAATTTTAACCTCTAATCCATGGCTCTTCCATCAGCATTTCTCATATTTGCTGTACTTATAACATTTGAAATCTACTTCATACAGTAGTGCTGACTATGGCGATGGCGATGATGGTGGTGATGAAGATGGAGATAAAGATAAAGATAATATAATGATAAAGATAACGAACAAGGAAATAAAAAAAAATGTGCTTGCGGTTCTTGCCTGCGGGACGATCTCACCTTGCCGAGTTCCTGCACAACGGCGTCAACAATTGGAACAATCATCGCGGCTGCGGCGGTGTTGGAGATCCACATGGACAGAAAAGTCGTCGTGATCATAAAACCCGCCATCAGTAACCGGGGACTCTGACCTGCCGGAGGAGTGTGGCTTTGAGACTAGATCGTTAAAAAAAAAAAAAAAATGAAAAGAGATCTCGTTCTGAAAACATCAAGCTAATTTTTGGAGTTAGTACATCTGGCACCACTGTAGAAAATAATATGTGATTGTAATGACGTTGCATAATAGTGCATCCGTCACAGCGCCTGGAAACGAATATTGGTTCCAGAGGACTCAAAGTGACTTAACAAACAGTCCGAAAAAGTCATAGTTATGTTATACCATTCGTGATAGCAATGTTTGTATGTGTGTATGCACGTTTATGTACATATATATGTGTGTGTATAAGCGACACGGACACAAATACGCATATATGTACACAGCTATTTGTGGAGGCACAAATACAGATGCAGATAGATTTACAGTTTTAGCTGTAGTTATAAACTCAAATATAGATATAGATACATGTGCAAGCATAAATAGTGTAGATAATATATATAGAGATATAAAGGTTTGGATATAGATATAGATGTAGATATAGATATAGATAGATATACAGATGTAAATATAGATTTGGATGCAGATACGGATAAAGATACAGATGCGAATACGGATGCAGACATAGATATAGAGATAGGAACAGATATATACACATGCACGCACACACACACACCTCCCCCTATCGACGCACACATATAGTACATATATATATAGGGATACCGGCATATAGATATTAATCCTGTACAACTCTGCAACCAAGCCGCCTACACATGGACATATTCACGGCACATCTGTCAAACCGTTATTGGCCTGCAACACGCCATCTATTGGCGACGCGCGCGCCTCCTTTCGCGCCAGCCAACCTGTCGCCGAGGAAGTAGCGATGACGCCACATATCAATGATTTTCGTTTTTTTTTTAAATCATATTTGTTTTTTTTTGTGATTGTTAGAAAGCTCGATCTTTGTTTATAATCATCATCATTATTTATAATCTGTAGTATCTGATTTGCTTGCGTTTTGGCTCTGGGGAGAATGATGAGTTTGGAATGGTGATGAAAATTTAAAAATGTGGAAACCATGGGATATCCCTGGGGAGAAATGTGATATCAGATATTGGGGAAGGCTGGATCAGTAGCAACTCGAGGTGTCATGGCGTCGTGTTTATTTTGATGACGTCACAAAAGTTACGGATTCTTTGTGAATATGGTCGATCATTTTAGTCTTTGCAGTTTTCAAAAAAGAGAGAAAAATATTTTAATAGTTATATTTTCACTGAACAATCATCAAAATAGCCCTGTGGATGAGAAGAGTGGGCGATTATGTTTATGTATGAATGAATTTCAAGTGGAATTGCTCGCAGTGGGTCAAACCAAAGGCCTGTGTTTTTTATTTAGCTTGAAGGAATTAAGTATACCTACTTTTATAAATACCTCCATGCGCTCAATGAATGAATGAAGGGTATTTTATTTATTGTGTAGGATACCAGGTCAGCAAGACTTTATGAAGTCAAAAACGTCTGAAAAGCCATTGAAACTTTAACACTGTTGGATATTGTACAAAATGTAAACAGGATGTACTATTCTATAAATAGCCCGGCCTGGTATCCTACACATTAAATAAGATAGCTTTCATTCATTCACTGAGCGCATGGAGGTATTAATAAAAGTAAGTACACTTAATTTCTTCAAGCTGAATAAAAATACAGGCCTTTGGCTTGATTCCCACTGCAAACAATTCCACTTGAGAATCATTCATGCATAAACATATAATCACCCTCTCTTCTCATCCACAGAGCTATTTTGGTGATTGTTCAGTGAAAATATATCCATTAAAATCATTATTTTTCTTTTTGAAAACTGAAAAGACCAAAATGATCAACCATATTCACAAAGAATCCATAACTTTTGTGACGTCATCAATATAAACAGACGCCATGATCTAGCCTTCCCCATCAATCAGATATTTCAACATTACTCTGTTGAAAAAAAGAAACATATACATCCTTTCTGTTCAAATTGATATCCTCGTCTTTATTGCAAAATACTTCTAATCATAATATCCATGATAACAAGATCAATATTGACAATAAAATGTAATACTGATGACAATGAAGTTTATAATGTTTTGAATGATTTAGACACAAATCAAAATGTGACAGCAGTAAAAGGGCAATATGGACGACCACTACTACATCCGCAATGACATTAGGATCAGCAGCAGCAGCAGCAGCAAAAAAAAAAAAAAAAAAAAAAAAAAAAAAAAAGCAAATCAGCAAAGAACAACAACAACAAATCTAACGCAGTAACAGGACAGGGATTTCGACTCAAAGAACAGCAATGCCCATTCCCTGAAAAGCGACCAAGGCAAGGGAGCTCCACCCCGAGCGACACTCACCCACGTGCAGCATGACAAAGAGGGCGATGCGCTTGTGTAGGTTGCAGTGCTCCACGGCCACCGCCATGATGAGGCCGCCCATGAACATGACGTTCGTGTCCTTCATGTAGACGAGGCAGACGGAGGACGTGGACAGGACCCCGAGCAGAGGGAAGGCGAACACGGGCACCAGGGCCGTGGCGGCGAGGGGCACGGCCCTCGGTGATTCCCGCGCAGTACACGGCCATGATCAGGATCACATAGACCCAACAGCGCGTTCCTTGGCGGAGACCCGAAGTGCAGCGGTGAAGGATTTGAAAAATTGAATTTAGTTCTAGTCGGTTTTGGGATGTGGGAAAGCCTGTTGGTGGTGCGGAATTGTTGGGGTTTTACAATGGCCTAATTCAATTATTGTTCTAGTTGGCCGTGAGTCCTCAAAAGAGAACTCGCATAAAGAGAACTCCGGCAATGCGTGCAGCATCTACATCATGGACAAGGATAGAAACTTATCTTAACTTCACTCCCCTCCTTACTACACCTATAGAGATCTGCGTGGCGTGACTCTACTTGTGTGTACGATTATCCCAGATCCTTCCATAGGACATCGGTTAGACTCATGCGACCGCTTGGAATATGTAATCAGATAACGTCGAACGTATAATCTGCATCACTCCTAATTTTGGTTGCTTTATGACGTGCATGCGTCAAGATGTTCAGTCTGTATTTCTTGCATTTGACATTATAGTATCTCATGGTTTGAAACATTATGGGAAATTGTTCGGATACTTAAAATGCTTTGACCTTAAACCCTTCTCTCTCGTTAATCCAGTGGGCGTGGTCCCTATAGAGTAATTTGTAGTAGTTAGAACATTTTCAGGAGGATATAGTAGCATATATGACATAATGCATTCGATACTATCTTGTACATTGGATGAAGCTGAATGAGAGTTGAGGCTGCAGTTGTAGAAGCTGCTGGATTTCGTTATATTGATTCGGAACCACAAGAATGCCTACAGGGTAGGCCTATTTTCCAACTATATAACTTTTCCCATAACTGATTGTGTCCCGTACGCTGTTGGCTCGTATTCCTCTAACACACGTACAAAATTTGGTCAAAAATATGATAATGTTACTCTCGGCATTTCTTTTCACTTCGGGTCGATATTGCCAATCTAGACCTATTACTTCATTTCTGCTCGTTTTTCACCGCGTGTAATGACGTGTTTTATTTTATCCTCTAGACACCAGCAGTTAAATTTTACTGCCTATACGGATGTATTAAATAAAAGTATCCAAGCTATATTCTTTTATGACATTACAATTCACAAATACGTGGTAATATCAGAAACTATAATTTAGTTAATAATAAATGTAATTTCCATTATCTCTGAAAAATTCAAATGTGATTATGGTCTACCTAAGTCATAATCCTTACAACCGACGGTAAATATTAACATTTAAACATAACTAACTCAAGAGAAATATCACCATAAACATTAAACAAAAGTAAATACGACTCTTAGTACATATTGCATTGGATCAACACACGAAACTAGACCACAATTAAATAAATAAATGAGGTTCCCTATCTACTGCATGCCAGGACCCTCCATTTCCTTCGCTCGGTTCACGACCTCTCTTCCCTCCGCCGGACGACTTCCTCTTGCCCCACCCCCAGAGAAAGGGCATTCCTGACGAGTGCCCGATCCCTGTGCTGGGATGGCGCCTTGCATGTGTGTATTCCTGCATATGGCTTTCGAGAACCGAGCAAGGGGGCCCGTGTTAGGAGTTTGATGGTCACCACTCGGTTACCTTGATGCCTAACGGCCGGTCTCTGCGCCCACTCACGCCTAGTGCAGCCCCACCTCTCACGGGATTGTGCGCGCCACTCGGCCCCGCCTCGTGCCTCTCTCCATGCCATTTCTGTCCGCCGTGAAGAAGCACTGTGGTCGCCCGCTTCGCATTTGCGATCAGTTTTCAGCTCCCCATCTAGCCCGCGCCCGGTGGTGTCACATGCCCACATGAGTGGAGGGAGACAGGGGAGTTGGTAGGGCGGCTCGTGCAGACCGGACCCCAGGACTCCCAACAGCGGGTTAGGCCTCAGGATGGTTTTTGTGATCCCTCCTAATGAGAGGTGTGGAAGGAATGAAGAAAAAAACACACAAAAAAAAAAAGAAAAAAAAGAAAAAAAATTATATATATACCATATATATAAATATTAATATAATATACAAATAATAATATAAAGTAATATATATATATCATACATACATACATAAACCCATTAACATAGGGCCAAGGTGACAACCACCAGCAAGCACCATCGGCTTTCCTGAGACATAATATCTCTGTATTACCGTATAACCCGACTAGCACTATAATATATATCCTAAATACCTATTACATTTTACTTATCTAATAATTTATCAGTAATAATAAAGAGCCAAGACATTAACTGATATATATATACTAGGTTTATGTATTGGTATGTATTTCTGTGCTGTGTGTGCTTATATATCTAAAATTCTATAGTATATTATCCTTTTTAAAGCTTCTATGCCATATATTATATAATATATATATTATATACAACACACTATTATATTCTATAACCAATACCTCTTGTATATAGTATAATATTTATATAGGATATATCACTACACACAAACCACCTAATTTGGCGGCTTACTTATACACTCTCATTATGTTTGTGAAGGTGAT